AAATGTTTCCCTACTCCAACTCTGGCAACCATATTCTCATTTGTGGTTACCATTAAATCCAAAATGTTTCCCTACTCCAACTCTGGCAACCATATTCTCATTTGTGGTTACCATTAAATCCAAAAGTTTTCCCTACTCCAACTGTAGCAACCATATCCTTCATTTGTAGTTACTTTTAAATCCAAAATGACATTCCAATCGTGGAATAACTTGGAATATAATATTTTTCATATCATCAATGTCCCCCAAATCTTCCCACATTTCAGCAATTCACATTAAATTACAGTCTTACATTTCAACTAAACCCCTGAACTCATCCATTCTGTTTCTGATACTTTTAACATTTGAAAATAGTAGCAACTAAATTTATTCTTGATCGGGTGTCTATCTCTAGATGTGACAGAGTTATCTTTGAAACTATTATTTAATCTATCTTGCTCTGAATTTCCTTTTGCCAATCTCCTCGATTCCATAGCTATCCTATCAACTTGTCTATTCCCAAGCTTCCTCAACACTATAAAAGTTCAGTTTAAACTATATTTAATGATTACATTTAGGGATTTCCTAAACATCCTACTGCCGAACCTACCTAAGTGGAGTCCATTTCTAGCATATAATTCACCCATACCCTGAAAACTAAAAAACTATTCCATAGGTCCAACCAGCTCATCTTTTGCACTAAACATAACCCTGATAACACTTCTTTGAAGCCTTGGATCCTGATTTGCTATAAAATTGCTAGGTAAAGTAATTAACTTGGTACAGTTAAAATGTAGCCTGAGTACACATTAAAAAAATGTACAAATTATTTATGTAATGTATACACATGTTTTTATTTTACTCGTAATTTAAATATTTATTAATAATTCTTAGTAACTCCATCAGATGACGCTTTAATTGCTCTAACGTTGTTACTACACGAGTTTTTTTTTTTAACGATTCCACTATATGCTGTTGAATTTTAATAATCATGTAACATGTTTCCAGTTAAAGGCTACGACAACAAAGCCAAAAGTTTGTATCGATAAATACGGGAATTAGTATTCTTGTGCGTCACAGAAAATCAAAAGTGCATTTCCCTGATTGGTATACCTGGATATTCAAAGAGCAGTATATTATATTTTGAATAGCAATAACTGATTTCCTGACTATCGGTTATGTACAATACTAAAAACGACACTAATACACAACAGACAAGTGAAGATATTGAAGGGAGATGTCATTAATCTACTTCTGAGTTTGAATTTGAATGATACGTGTATATTATTCGAATCTGTATATCGCTCATGCGTAGTTGATATTTTATCAGGTCCTGTGAATGCCTTATTATCGTGGAAACCATTTATAGTCCTTGGCCGACTGACCTATATGACGTATTTACTGCATTTGTTGGTAATATTCGTCATTGCAGGTTCGTGGAAGGAAAGGCAACTTTTCAGTCAATTTGAACAGGTAAGTAGCAGTTATATTAAGTAAATCATCTTCAATAATTTGGAGCGTGTCATCGTAACAAATAACACAAAGTTGCCCCCCCCCCCACTTTTGTAGCACAATGCAGATAACCTCCATTGTGTAGTTTTTGCTTAAAAAGGAAACAAAAACTTGAAATTTAACATATACTGTTTTAAAATATAATTCAAATGTTCCCCGATGGGTCAGCGGTACGTTTAAGGACTTACAATGCTAAAAATTCGGAGTTCTAAACCCTGCAGTGACATAGCAGTTGGCCCATTGTAGCTTTGTTCTAAAACTAAGACACTAATTTAAAGTAAAATATTCAGTTTAGCTAGTGTCAAAAATATTTTTCTCCTTGGTGAGAATATTTGAAGTGTTTTCACACGTCTTGAGTAGTTCCAGTATATTATCACAAACGTTAAATGTTTATGCCTACAGATTCTAGTCACTTAAGGAGTGTCATAGAACACAGTATTGGACGTCGGAAAATCTACGGACTTACAACAATAAGAATCCTGGGTTCGATTCCCGCGGTGGTCAAAGCAGATATCCCAATGTGGCCGTTGTTGCTCAAAAACGAAAAAAAAATGAGTAAACAAATAGAAAAATCTCTTGGTTTAACACTGTAGACAACATTGCGGTTTAGGCTTCAGTAGAAGATCACAAAATCCTGCAAGTCAGCTTCAAATCTGCAATTGAATTTGAAGATCAAAATGTTTGATAAACGTAAACATTTCAAACGAAGGGACATTACACATGCACCACAAATCGTAGCCTAGTGTTACTTTTTCTTTTTTTTTAATCCCGCGTTCGGTTTACTATACTGTGGTGTTAATAACTCGTTAACTGACATCTCATACGCACGCGTAGTAAAAAAAATAGCTTTTGTTAAACGCTTGGTTATGTTAGCGTATTTTCGTTTTAACTTAGGACCTGTAGATTCCGATGTCCGTCGTAGCTGAAAGATTTACTCCTTTCACCCTTTCATAACTAGTAAATACTGTATCTTTATTCAGATAATGATAGTTCCATAAAGTTTCTACACATAGTGTAGATCGCACGTTGCAAAGTGGTAAACACGTGTTAATTCTATTATGCACGTCAGGGTAACATACCTCAAGGATAACACGTAACCATTTCCGTAGTATTTCTAGAACGGGAGCCTATTCAAACAGGTTATACAGAAATTTGTTCAAGGTGGCTTAGGATTTAATTTAAACTATAAGTTTAAGTTTGCACCCCATGGGGCTTGTGGGATACTTTTCTAACACTATGCTTGAGTATAAAACGATTGCGTGACAAACTATTTGTGCGACCGAGGCAAGTTTGTCAAAAAACTCCCCCACCACCCCACTTTATATAACCATGAAAGCAAAAACAGGCCCCCAGTTTATAATAATAATATATA